GTGCAACACCCTTATAGCAAGCTGCCCTTAAACAAGAACGGGTGGCTCCTGTATCAATTATGAAAGCTAATGTCACACTTCCTAACAAGAGAGATAAGGAGGGTTGTTCAGAGTATTCAGAAGAGAGCTGGGGGAGCATGAGGGAAACACCTTCTGGGCAGCCCTATTGTTGTTGATTTTGCCACTGGAGAGGGTATTTCATGGCAGGCTGTGATGTGGGGATAAAATGGGGTGCTTGTGGTGAAAGAGCTTGTGAGGGCACGCTTGATGTATTCTGATTCTGTGTATGACATTTGGGCACTGATTTCTCCAATGTCCACACTAAGCACAGGAAAAACAGTGGTCATTCCTGGGATTGAAGGCTCTAAACCTTCCACCTCTCCCTCTTCCTCTAAAACCTCCTCTTGTGTTGCTCCTAAACTGTCCCGTCTGTTCCCTTGGTCTGGCATCTCTAGGATCACAATGCTGTAATCCTTGAAAATGAACCTTTGTATTTGTTTTAGGAAGTTCAAAACACCCTGCTGAATTCTTCTCCATTACTCTAGCTTCAAATGTTTTAGTATCCATGCCTGACCAATAGGACACTAACTGTTTGATTAACAATGAAACCTCTGGTCTAAGTCCTTGCATAACTGCCTGTATGTATATAATTCCTAACTCCCACGTTCTAAGATTTAATCCTGCTTTTCTTTCCAGACCTCTATTCCCTGCACCATGTAATATTAGTTGTCCAGCCATGGGTTAATATGATAATAATCCAAAGGTGGCAACATATTCTTTATATGTCTCAACTGGTCGCTGGGGTTTTTCTAGAGCTGATCCCTCTTCTTTAGTTCATTTTTTAACAATTGTCTTTCTCTTAATACTTTATGCATGGGGCTTAGGAGGATCTGGATACTTCCCCTTAACTTGCAAGTTTCCAATTGTCACTTAAAGCAAAGAAGCAAGGTTATGCAAGTGGGCCTATGTGTTTCTATCCCGGTGATTATTCTTTGTGCAGGGTGAAGCTGTACTGAACTCATGTAGAGCTCCGACAAAATTCTTCTCAACTGCACAAGTGCTTCATGGGAAAAATACACACCTATTCTGACTCTTTCAGGCTACCACCATGTTTCACCTGTCCAAGGTCAGCGGGAAAAACCCTCACTGAGCAGGTAGTGCATCTTGCAGTCATCCAGAGACTTATAAAACAGCTACTTAACAGTTTCTCTAGTTGCAAGCGTACATAAGCAACTTAACACACTATTCTGTATAATTGGAAGGAGGCACATATACAGATTTCTTATTAATCAACCTAGGTCTTCAATCCCACAAGCTCCCAAAGCTCCAGCAGAACACTGCTTGAGCTACCGCACCACAGAGGCTTGTTTGAGATAGGAGGCAACCGGAGCAAAGTAAGACAAAAATTGCTCACTTACCTCCAACAGCTGGACTTATCCCACACTTCTGATACCAGTTCTGTTAGGACAACTCAATTTCGTGCCAGCACCCTCCGTCCAATCATGACAGATACAAAGTACTTCGGGAATAATGCAATTCAGACACTGAGGTGTGAAACGCAGAATTCAAAGTCTTTTATTATTGTTTGAGTTTCAATACAGAGATAACGCCGAATACTTCGGGCGGTATCCATAAAGCACCAATCAGAATACATTATAGATATTACAATAACTCACCATATGGTGCGCAATAGAAATATAGTAAACAAAATAATAGGTTCTGCAAAACCATCAAGGCCAGAGACACTTCTAGATAACAACTTTCCAATCCTCAGGGAACATTCTGTTTATGAAAATAAAAGTTGGTTAACAAGCACAAAGCAAAGGTTAGTTAATTACTAACCCTTTCATCACTTCCAAATTTTCTTTCTGTCACACAAGAGTATTTGTAACTTTAGTAATGAAACTTGCATGCAAACAAAACGGACGATCATCCATCCAATATTCTCATCATGTGTACAGGGATTATCTCTACAACATTCTTTAACCTGCTCTGTATTCTTTTATTTTCATCATCAAAAAAAAGTCTTTGCATGTGCACTAGACAGCACTAATTACCTCAGGTTAACGTGATTATGTATTAACTGATAGACATTGATTTCCTTGCAACACCTATTCACATGAAAACTGAATCAAAGTCTCCTGTTTGTTGCAACCATTCAAGGAATCTTTACAACATCATGTTGTGAAGCCACCCAGTACTGGATTTTTGTTAGCAAAATGAAGATTGATATCAGCACTGTGCTATACTGAGATACCTATTTAAGATTGTGGTTTAGGCTGCATGTTCTGTAAATGTTTCATTATTATCTATTTTAGAGTTCATGTGCATGCAGTTTGATTTCTGTTATTTTATGAAGTTCTCAGTAAAAGAGTTATCTTCAAACTACAATGTTTGTTCTTCCTCTGGTTCGTGGAAAAAAAGTACAATTAGCCATGATCAAAGTCCACAGCTTAGGAAGCTTACTTGAGCTGCCTTGCTGGCTTTAACTTTTCTGCAGATACCTGGACTTAACAGGCTAGTGTTATTTCTACAAATGCTATGGATGACTTGTTCAAGAAAACATTAAATGACTGGATAAGAAGATTTTCTTTTAACTTGCAAGGCTCAAATACAACTCACTGGAGCTTGTCACTAAGAATTTTGAACATGCCATTACTACAGATACAAATCAATCATTCTCTTGAGGATTCTGCTGAGGAAAATTATTGAGGGGATTGGTACTTATATGGAGACACTAAAGATGACAACCACCATCTCATTTCCATAGAAGAAGATGAGGATGACAAAAATTCCTTAGGCTTGTCACTATCTTTTAAAACATTTTGTACAATGTGTTATATTGGGATTGTTCTTTATAACTCACCCTGGGGGATGTACTGAGTCTGTACAGAAGAATGAGATGCTCACAAACACTATATAATACTACACAAAATAATGTATTTTACAGAGTTAATTAGGTAAACATGATAATGTGAATGTACATTAATTTTTGCTCTTGGTGCTTACATTCCATAATGGATGACTGGCAGCTCTAGGAACCTGGAGGAATATGTCTTTGCAAGGTAAGGTTAAGGTCTAGAACATGTAGTGAAGAAACCAGTTTTGAATTTTGATTTGGATTCATAGTTCTTGTCCCTCTACATCACCACACTTTTGTCCAAAAGATAACCAGGAGCTGTGGGTTACTGCAGTAAAAGTATACAATTAGATGGAAGCAAAGAAAAAGGCTGTTTATCTGATAGTCTTACTGGACCACATATGATACAATCATATGGATGGCCATCAATTCATGGATTCATTATAAAATGAAGGAAAATGGCCTCTCATGTTAGTAGTTGATTATCTCCCCATATCTTATTCTATAGTACACCATCATTGCTTGACCCAGAGCCAGACATATCATAAACAGCAGCTTTGGCACCAAAGGTTCCACACGTAGCCTCAGATTCTTATCTGGTGGTATACATTGATTGCAATTCTGTTAAAAATCGGTGTCATTTAAAGAAAAGTGAAGGTTGGGTTTGCTAATATGAAGGAGAAGCAGTGCAATGGTACCAAGCTGAATATTACATTCATCATAATATTCCTGTTGTGACTAAAGGCAGACATGCTGTTAAGCCAATAATGTCAACTGTGTGGTTGGGATTAGTAACCCTGTTGATACTTTACAACAACTTTCAGCCCTGGTTCATACTGATGTGGTCTGGAATTTGCGTGTTTTCTGCACCGCACCGCAGAATCGGATTGCATAGGTGTGAATACCCATGCGATCCGATTCTAGTGTGGACCAAAAACAGGGTCCTGCACATTTTTGGTGCAGGTGCTGTGTGATTAGATACATAATGTATGGCTCCAATCACACTGCAAACAAATTGCATGTGATTTGCACAGGAATGCAGTGCAGTTTCTGTGCGAATCACATGCGATATACCGCACCGCACATATGTGAACCCAGGCTAAAGGATAAGCTCACTTTTTATAACACGTTACACTCATATTCAGGGTGTAACATATAACATAACAAGTTATGAAAGCACCGCCCCCCGCTTCCCGCCAATTCCTCCCCGCTAGCTGTCAACTAAAGAAAAAGTGGCAGCGCGGGGCTCCACCCATCCGACACTGTCACTTCTCTGTGAATGAGAAACTACAAGTCCAGATATCCTTAGCGGCTGTCGGCTTATAGTTTTCGATGAATGTTTTATGATGCCGTGGTAATTCATTGAGTTTTCCTGTCAGTATATCTGCTTGCTCGTACATCTCGTACAGGCAAGCAGATATACTGACAAATCTGCAGGAGACCTGCATGGCAGCAGTGATCTACTGATCACTGGTGCAATGCTTTGCAGGCTTCTTCAGCAAAAAAATAATAAATAATACATTCATTTAAAAAATGAAAGCTCTTTCCGTATTTTTGTAGCTGAACTTCATCCCTAAGTTGGCATTTCTATCCTTCATCCCATGTTCTTGACATGCATCTCAAGGAGCAGGGCGGACTGACCATTTGGAAACTCGGGCACTGCCCGAGGGCACGAGGTCAGTAGGGGGCCCCATGAGATGCCCCTGGTACCTTTTTCATAGGCTTTTTTGAGTTTGGGTAAGGACACAGGGGCCCCATGATCCACTATTGCCTGGGGGCCACATGAGTTGTCAGTCCGCCCCTGTCAAGGAGGCAACTTTGACACTAGCAATGCTGCTTTTCCCCTTCACTCTCAGACTCAGGAATTGTGCAGTTGCACAAGTTTCAACTCATGACTTCATGAAATTAAAATAGTATATGTATCATTAGTTTAACCACTTCCGCACCACCGTATAGCAGAAATACTGCTACAGGGCGGCAGGGGTGCACAAAATCACGTATATATACATGACTTTGCAGTTCTGGGCCTCTGCTGTCAATCACCGGGTCCCAGCCAGTGATTTCTGATCGGCACCCAGTGATTGCAGAGTATCTCCGATGGGGGAGAGACCTGTATGTAAGCAATACAGATCTCTCCCCTGTCAGCTCCTGTGCACTGCTTTGTATGGCTATGCATAGCAGAGCCATACAAAGCAATGTGCTTACAGTGAAACACCGTACACAGCCTCATAGTAAAACAGCACACAGTTAACCCTTTGATCTCCCCACATTTTAACCCCTTCCTGTCCAGTGCCATTAGTACAGTGTCAGAGCTTTTTATTAGCACTGATCACTGTATTGGTGTCACTGGGGATGTCAGTGACACCAAGTCAGTTCCCCCAGTGTCAGAATGCCCACTGCAGTCCCACTATAAGTCGCTGATTGCCGCCATTACTAGTTAAAAGAAAACAAAAATTCAGTATATATATTGTTATTTGTAAAAGCTATAACGTTCACGTAAACCAATTAATTTAAATGTACTGGGATTCTTTTTTTAGCAAAGACATGTAGCAGAATACATTTTGTCCTAAATTTATGACAAAATTTAAATTTTTTTTACTGGACATGTTTAATAGCAAATAGTCAAAAATATTTTTTTTTTATCAAACTTGTCTATATTTTTTTGTTTCTAGCACAAAAAATAAAAACCGCACAGGCGATACCACCAAAAGAAAGCTCTATTTGTGGGGAAAAAGGAACATAAAGTTCATTTGGGTACAGTGATGCATGACCACGCAATTGTCAGTTTAAGAAGCGCAGTGCCATATCGCAAAAAATGGCCTGGTCAGGAAGGGGGGGTAAATCCTCTGGAGGGCAAGTGGTTAATAGCCTCTTATTTAAGCAAGGTATACACATTTAGGAAAATGCCATAATATATAAGTAGATAAGTATATGTACAGTATGCGTGAGTAGCAATACGTGCTTAAAGCATGCACACATTACGTTCTTTGATTATTAGTACAGCATGGTGATGATGTTTTATTGTTTCTTTGTGTCTCACTGCAAGCCAGTATATACTGACATTACAATACAGTCTCTAGGTGGCTTATCCTAATATGTGAGCAGTTGTTCAGCAGAGTTGCTTAGGGCACTGCCTGGCATAAAAATAGCCACTGCTGGGAGAATTTACAAATCCAATTATGGAATGCAATTATGAAAATAAGGAAAAGCAAGCAAGTAAAATGTGAAAGTCACACAAAAAAATGACTTAAAGGTAATTGTTAAAACATAAACTTAAATTGTGCTCTCATGGAAAACATACTATTGATTCTCTTTAATCTCGCAGCTTTCTAAAATTAAATCCTAGCATTTTTACTCTTACTGAGCTGATACACATGAACAATTCCATGAAGGTTTGGAAAGAGTAAGCTGTTTTTTCATATAAGTGTAGGGAAAGTGATCAGCTATAAGAACAGTATACTGTATGTAGAGTTTTTTGGGGTTTGTTTTTTAGAGCTGAAGTTTCTCTGGAAGAGAAATAGAATTTCCATTTAGTATGCACACAGGATTGAAGCATCATTTATCAGTTTAGCATGGGTAATACATGGGGCATCATTTTACTGTAACTTCATTTGTAAAAAAAAAAAAAAGACTTGTGAATACCATACTCATTAAGGCTCAGTTCACAGTACTGCAATGCGATTTTGATGTGATTTTCAGTAACACAGGAACCTTTCCAAAGTCTAACCACATTGATGTAAGTTGCAATGAATGGGCACCATTGTAACAATTGTGATTTCTCTTGTCATGCAATTCTAAGCAACTCCAGTCACATCTGAAATCTCAGTAGTGTTAACCGGATCTAAACCATACTACCTAAACATAAACACATAAACAGGTTACGCTGGAAAGGACGAGATTACAACTTTATTGAAATAATAGTAATCAATAGTAAAAATAAAACATGCACCAGTTATTCGGTAAGCACATCTGAGCAACATGACATAGCTTGAATGCCTGTCATAACCAAGTGTTCCAGACAGACATCCAACTAGGCCAAGACTCACCTGAGGGAAAAAATTAGCAAATGGTAAAACCACCAATAAAGCTGTGAAGACCGTCATCAAATGGGGAAGGTGGGTTGGCAACTGAACCAACAGCTGCTGATTTTTCAAGGAAAGTATTTGACCTCTGCACAGTACTAAAGTTCAGAGCAAACCAGGGGCGGACTGACCATTTGGCACTGCCCGAGGGCCCGGGGTCAGTACGGGGCCCATGAGATGCCCCTGGTACCTTTTTCATATACTTTTTTTAGTTTGGGCAAGGACACAGGGGCCCCATGATCCCCTATTGCCCAGGGGCCCCATGAGTTGTCAGTCCACCCCTGGAGCGAACCCAACATCCTATAAAATAAAAACCAATCCAAACCATGTCATATATAAACTGTCTTAAATACATGCACTATCTGCAGGTAGGTAGGTGGTCTTTTTTCTGTTCCTTGGGGGCCCCCTCAGGATACCAATGGTCACACCTGGACACAGCTACGAGATCGGAAAGCGAATGCACTCAAGTCACCTCAGTTGCGATTGCAAACACTTCAGCTTTATTGGCATAACATCAGGGTTTTTATACTGTAGCCTTTGGGCAGACACACCTTCAGACCATCCAATCAAATACATGTACATTATTTTTACCTTAACTCAACAATTATTTGTATGAGGTCTGCATTTACACTCTTCTGCTTTATCTTTCATAACCCCCCCCCCCCATCCTCTCCATCACGACCAACAACGCCACCATCAATTCCACCCCGCAAGCCAAAGTCCTAGGTGTTACCCTAGACTCAAACCTATCCTTCCAACCCCATGTCCAATCGCTGGCAAATTCATGCAGGCTCCACCTTCACAACATCTCCAAGATACGTACGTTCCTAACCCCAGACACTACTAAACAACTCGTTCACGCCCTTATTATCTCACGCCTAGACTACTGCAACTCCCTTCTCACTGGCCTACCCCAACACAGGCAATCCCTGCTCCAGTCTATCCTGAACTCAGCGGCCAGACTCATATCTCCGCTCCGTATCCGCCACCCCCCTCTGTCATTCCCTCCACTGACTTCCGATTGCCCAAAGCATTAAATTCAAACTACTAACATTTACATACAAAGCTATTCATAACGCTGCCCCAAACTACCTCACCGACCTGATACCCAAATACCACCCAACCCGTACTCTTCGCTCCTCACAAGACCTCCTACTTTCTAGCTCTCTGGTCTCCTCCTCCCACGCCCGACTGCAGGACCTCTCCAGGACTTCCCCCATCCTCTGGAACTCTCTACCCCAATCCATCAGACTGTCACCTACCCTCCTCACCTTCAGGCGCACCCTGAAAACCCATCTCTTCAGGGAAGCCTACCCCACCCTCACTTAACAGCCGATCTCCTCCACTCCTCCTACCACTCCATCCCCCACAGCCACTTCCTCCTGTACAAAGAACCAGCAAACACAAATGCTCCTGCGCTTGGGGATGGACTCGATGCAGGCTACAACCACATAAAGAATGTCCTGGAACATGCACACCTCGCTGCCCTCAAATGGACCGGGGAAATCCAAATATACTGAATGAGGAAAGAAAAAACAGAGGGAGCACAGGCCTAGTGCATTATCATAAAAAATGTTTAATAAAAAATAAAGTATGTGTTGTACTCACAAACGACAATATAGTCAAGGCACATCATAAAGAACAGCTAGGTCAACACCGCGCTGAGTAACAGTCCGCAATAGGGAGTATAGACATCCAAAAGGCTGACGCATTTTGAGGACTTGCCTCTTCCTCAGAGCCTCCTGTACCACTATCCCCTCCCTCCTAGATTGCAAGCTCGAAAGAGCAGGTCCCTCGAACCCCTCGTGTATTGTCTTGTTACTGTATTGTCTCATGTACTGTCCCCCACTATAATGTACAGCGCTGAGCAAACCTTCTGGCGCTATATAAATACTGTATAATAATAATAATAATAATAATATCTGGTCTTACTCCCAGACCATGTCTTTAACCTGACCCAACGCCCAAGCTGTGGTTACAACTTTTCAGAAATGAGAGTAAAGATTATCTGCTTTTTTGTAAAGTTTGCAAAAACACTTATTTCTACATGAAGCTAGCATAGACAGTTTTGTTAGTGTGTACAAACTTCATATATATGTGCATGTTAAATAAGTATCTTGTATTAGTGTATACAATATGGATTCAGTTATATTCCATTAATCCTTTCACTATCAACAACCCCTTTTCACGGAGAGCCATCAATACTCTTTCTATCAGTCAATGCTCCCTTTCACTAAAGTTGGGCATACACTGTTAGAAGTTCAGCAGATTCCTGCTTGATTGCATGAAATTCAAGTCAAGATTGGTCTAGTCAGTACTACCCAGCCTGAAAAAAGTTGATTTCATAATCAAAGGAATTGGGTGGAAATAGGGTTGCCACCTCATCCCTTTAAAACTGAACACGTTATTTACATAGTTTCTGTGGCTGATTACAGTGGTAATTAAACTCACATAGTGCCTTATTTGCATTAAATTAGCCTCAGGACCTGTGAAATTAAAACCACTTGCTGACCGCCCTGTAGCAATTTTACTGCTACAGGGTGGTCACTCTGCAAAGAATTACGTGTATATACATTATTCTGCATTTCCCGGTAGAAGTCGCACGTGCTGTCTTTGGCTCCTGTAGGTTTCAATCCCCAGGTCCCAGGCAATGTTTCATGGCTGGGACTTGACAATTAGTGGAGCAGCTGACAGGAGAAAGATCTGTGAGTGTAAGCAGCATTTTCCTGGCGGGGGGGGGGCAGATAAAAAATAAAAAACAGAATGCCCCCTAATAAACACCATATATATATATATATATATATACATACATCCATTCAGTCGTATCCGACCCTTGGCAATTGCATGGACTGTCACTCGTAAGCGACTTTTTCCATGAATTCTCTTATTATTTATTTATTTATCGAGTTTATATAGCGCCAAAGGGTTTGCTCAGCGCTGTACAATAGAGGGGGACAATACATGAAACAGAACAGTAACATCAAACAGTACACAAGGGGTAAGAGGGCCCTACTCTTTCGAGCTTACAATCTAGGAGGGAGGGGGTAGAGGCACAGGAGGAAACGGCTGTGTGGGATGGAGTGGTAGGAGGAGGGAAGGGCAGCGGCTGTTAGGTGAGGGTGGGGTAGGCTTCCCTGAAGAGGTGGGTTTTCAGGGAGCGCCTGAAGGTGAGGAGGGAATTTGACAGTCTGATGGATTGGGGTAGTGAGTTTCAGAGGATGGGGGAGGACCTGGAGAAGTCTTGCAGTCGTGCGTGGGAGGAGGAGACCAGGGAGCAAGATGAAGGAGGTCCTGTGAAGAGCGAAGGGTACGGGTAGGGTGGTACCTGGGAATCAGGTCGGTGAGGTAGTTAGGGGCAGTGTTGTGAATGGCCTTATAGGTCAGGGTGATCAATTTGAATTTAATGCGTTGGGCAATGGGGAGCCAGTGGAGGGAGAGGCAGAGGGGGGTGGCAGAGGTGGAGCGGCTGGTGAGGTGGATGAGTCTGGCCGCTGAGTTCAAGATGGTCTGAAGCGGGGAGAGCCTGCACTGGGGTAGGCCGGTGAGGAGGGAGTTGCAGTAGTCAAGGCGAGAGATAATCAGGGAGTGTACGAGTAGTTTAGTGGTGTCTAGGGTAAGGAAGCAATTATTTTTACAGGGTAGGTTTCCCCAACCCCTACCATGGAGATCCCGCATGGCCAGGGATGAAACACCACATGGTACACAGCTAAATCACTGCCTAGTACAGTTAACCCTTTGATCCCCCCAGATGTTATCCCCTTCCTGCCCAGTGTCATTAGTACAGTGTCAGTGCTTTTTATTAGCACTGATCGCGATCGCTGTATTAGTATAACTATAGATGTCAGTGACAGTCAGTTTTCCACCCAGTGTCAGTGAGTTTTGGAATGCCCACCAAACTATCGCAGTCCTGCTATAAGTTGCTGATCGCCGCCATTACTGGTATGAAAAAAAAAACATTCCTGTATATATACCACCATTTGTAGACGCTATAACTTTCATGCAAACCAATTAATATACATTTATTGGGATTTTTTTTTTTTCCCAAAGACATGTACCAGAATACATTTTTGGTTATGTTTTATAGCAAAATGTTAAAAATATTGTTTTTTTTTTGTGTTTTGTTTAAGTTTGGTCTTTTTTCATTTATAGCGCAAAAAAAAAAAAAACCCCAGTGATGATCAAATACCATCAAAAGAAAGGTCTATTTTTGTGAAAAAAATTATGTAAATTTCATTTGGGCACAGTGTTGCATGACCCCTCAATAGTCAGTTAAACTAGAGCAGGGCCGTATTGCAAAAAATGGCTTGGTCACGAAGAGGGTAAATCTTCCGGAGGGCAAGTGGGTAATATGTGTTCCGTTTTAAAGGGATGAGGTGGCAACCCTAGGTGGAAAATTGTTGGCCAAACAGTGACTGCATCCAACTGCATGCAGTCATTGTTTGGGTGTTCAGGTAGCTGCCTAAATACAATTGCAAGCAGAGGAGATTTGGTTCTTTGTTTAGCATGGATGGCAGAATTAATTGATTTCTCTTATTCAGACCTTAAGCATGTATGTCTACCCTAAGGCTGCATTTACGCTTGAGCTTTTTGTAGCTTGAAGCTCGAAGCTCCAAGAAAGCTCAAACCTAAAAAAAATCAAATTATTCCATATCAACCATAGAGAACAACTGATTTTTTAAGTTTGAGCTTTTTTGGAACTTGTAGCTTCAAGCTACAAGATGCTCAAGTGTGAATGCAGCCTAAAGCCACTTTCACATGGGCTTTCCATCTGTCCATTTTTCATCCAACTGTTGATGTAATGCAATGCAATGCAATTCTTATGCGCAAACAAATGTAAATGGACGTTGCCTGTTTACATTAGGTTTTCATCTGCTTCTGTTCAGGTCCGTTTTTTTGTTTTTTTTTTGTAACAGGAACAAGTCTACATTTTTGCAGACAAAAAGCGGATACAATTGGATGAAAAACAGATGTAAATGGAACTCAACAAAGCTCAAGTTTTCTAAGCAAAAATGTGACTGAACATACTGCAATGATCTTAGCATACTGCAATGATGTTAGCAAATTTCATTGCAGACACAAACCTGCTGACAACTTGTAGAACATCACACCTGCATTCCATTCCCTTACTCCTAGGTGCTAAGTGGGAAGATCTGATTACTGCAGTCTCATGTTCAATCCTAAAAGAGAAACTGCTTGGAAATTCAATGAACCAACCATACATGTCTGGGGGTATTCTGTTAATTTACAATATACAAAACCTCTGTAGTTGCTACGGTTACAAGAAACTGATATTTGCATATTTATCATTTTTGTAAAATCATAGCTGATGCAGATTAAAATAGAAAGGTCAATTGAACTTACCCTTTAAAATGTCATGTGTGGAAATACCTGTCTGCCCTTGCTTACTTTGCACAGTATTTTTCATTCAAGCATCCAAGCTTAATAAATTCTTATATTTATAACATATTACAATGTGCACAAAAGGAATATACTTAACGTATGCAGTGTATAAAATTCACAAAGACACTGTTCTGGTATTTCATTATTCTGTGCCATTTTTATTTCACATAATCTTAAGTCATGCTATAAAGTCAATTTACAACCTTTTTAAAACTAATACATGCTGCTGAGGGAGAAGGTAACATTGAGAGCTTACATACGATTTTATCTCTATCTAATAATGTTTATTTATTTGGGTCAAGATGAAACAGAGCAGGTTAGAGATTAATAGCGTAGACACAGAAATCAATAAACTATATGATTGGTTACAATGGGATGATTTAATGCCTATTAAATAAAATCAAAATTTGGTTTTATTATTTATTTTTCCAGGCATTTATATATCACTGATAATTTACGCAGTGTTTTAAATACTGTAATGGTTGTGCATACTGGGCACATGACTAACTGTGTGTGTAGCAGTCATTTTGTTCACAGCACAAGTCTCCTATGCCATTTCATCATAAGAAGGCATAGCACAGTGACCTTAATTTTATTATTGAAAAATTTATCATAAATATTTGCTAGTACCAATTAGAATATACTGGATCCTGTCATTGGAGGTTGGTACTCTGTTAGTACCAGGGGCGGACTGACAACTCATGGGGCCCCCGGGCAATAGGGGATCATGGAGCCCCTGTGCCATTGCCCAAACTCAAAAAAGCCTATGAAAAAGGTACCAGGGGCATCTCATGGGACCCCCCACTGACCCCCCGGGCAATAGAGGATCATGGGGCCCCTGTGTCCTTGCCCAAACTCAAAAAAGCCTATGAAAAAGGTATCAGGGGCATCTCATGGGGCCCCCTACTAACCCCGGGCCCTCGGGCCCGGGTCAGTCCGCCCCTGGTTAGTACATATTGGAGAGATTTACTAAAAGTGGTGTATAGAGAATCTGGTGCAGCAGTGCATAGTAACCAGTCGGCTTCTTTTATAGTCAAATATTAATTGAGCTGGCTGAAGTTAGAAGCTGATTGGTTACTTTGCAAAACTGCACCAGATTCTGTGTGCACCAGTTTTAAAATTTCCCCTACTATAAATGGCACTCATCTCACAAACAAACAAAAAAAGCTGTTAAAGCTAAGATCTAGGCAAACAGCTAAATGCATAGCAGGTGCACATATAAGGGAACTATTTTAACTGTTAAACATGTAAATAAATGCAGTCAATTTTGCAATCCATCTAACAATACATTTTTGGGAATGGGATGGGAAGTTCCTGTACCACTGCCAGAACACAGTGCTATATACAGTACAGTATGTAGCTGATGCTATACAAAGAATATCAACACATTTGTAAGGGAAAATAAAAAAAAGCTTGAACTGATCTAACAGTTAATAAAAACCCCAAATGTTTGGTGGCTTAGTCGGTACTGGACTGGACACATAATTCAGATCAACAAAGATGGACAACTTTGCCTTTCTTTGTACTTAAAGGATACATTTATCTTTTCACAAAAAAAATAATAATTGCAAAATTCTTTGCACGTAAAAAAAAAAATGTGCATTTATTATTTTTTGTGTTAGGAGCTTCTAAAGCATTGCACCAGTCATCAGCAGGTCACTGATGCCATGCAGGTCTCCTGCAGACTGTCAGTGTATCTGCTTGCTCATATATCCCATAGACGCAAGCCAGTACTTCTGACAGGAAGAATCAATAAACTCACAGTTCACAATGCTGCGGTAGTTAATTGAGGACTACAAGCCAACAACCGCTAAGGCTGTCAGGACCTGTAGTCCATTAATTCACTCACAGAGGACTGTGAATGAATGATGTGACTGCATGCCCGCATTGTTTTTGAAAAGTGACAGCTAGTACAGGGAACGTCTCCCCGTACTTCTGTCATGGAGGGGGGGAGCAGTTGGCAGCTGCAGGACCAGGAACATGTTACATATTCCACCCGAAAAACGTGTGGAACATGTAGAAATGTTCTTTTCAAATCTTTTTTATTAAGTTTTAAACATAAATGTATCAACCACAATACAGGTTCAGATTAGAAATGAAGCACATCTGTTTCTTAGTACTATAACATACATACATGACCAAGATATGTGTAAAATATCAGGGTAGTAAGTATAGAGAAAATATACTTCCAGTTAATATGATCGCATAAACAAAACATACCATATGTGCATAGCGTTTTGCTGAATCCATTCACAAAAGACCCGACAAAGCGGGCCCACCTGAACCTGATTTCCAAAAAATATACATATAGATAACATGGAAAAGAAAGGGAAAGAAAAATGGATAAAAAAAACAGAACCCAGATTGAAAGAGAGGAAAGAGAGGAGAAAAAGAATAAAGAAAGAGCAACCACATGCACAAGAGGAGACCAAAGCTGTCATATTAATCAAAATCCTAACACTGACGTACAAAGCTGTCCACCATACTGCCCCGAACTACATCACTGACCTAATATCCAAGTACCGCCCAGCACGCACACACTCCGCTCCTCACAAGACCTCCTTCTCTCTAGTTCCCTGGTCTCCTCCTCCCATGCCCGCCTCCAGGACTTCTCCAGGGTGTTACCCATCCTCTGGAACTCCCTGCCCCAACCCATCAGATTATCACCTACTCTCCTCTCCTTTAGGCGCACCCTGAAAACCCATCTCTTCAGGGAAGCCTACCCCACCCCCTGCTAACTTGCGACCTCCTCCACTCTTCCTACCACTCCATCCCCCACAGCTATCTCCTCCTGTACCACTATCCCCTCCCTCCTAGATTGTAAGGTCGAAAGAGCAGGGCCCTCAATCCCCTCATGTTTTGCATTGTATTGTTATTGTTCTGTCACATGTTCTGTCCCCCTTTGTAATGTACAGCGCTGAGTGAACTATTGGTGCTTTATAAATACTGTATAATAATAATAATAATATTATCCTTTTGAGGCTATCATGCAGTAATTTCTATATAGTAATATCAAATGGCAAAGATAATTCTTTCCAATGGAACCATTTTGCATCAAACTTCTCCATAGAAGAATGACTAAGCGCCAGAGCCCTCTCATATACATAGTGTGTCTGTACTCTTTGGGTGACTTCTGAGATGCAAGGAGAATTTGACGATTTCCATCTACTAGCAATAGACAATCTAGCAGCGATAAGAATGTGACCTATAATTGTTCTATATTTGCTAGGAAAAAGGTTAAGCTTGAGGTTAAGAAAGGCCAAGTGTGGAGCCGGAGAGTAAATTGTACCCGACACCCTAGAAATAAGTGCGAAAACCTCCTTCCAGAATGTTTGCAAACAAGGACACTTCCACAAAATGTGAAGTATATTCCCCCCTCCGCCACAATTTCTTCTACATAATGGGGCTATGTTAGGGTACATTTTAGATAATTTATATGGAGTGAAGTAGCTACGGTGCATTATTTTCAGGGAGCAATCCCAGTGATTAGTACAGTTAGAAATACTCAAACTGCTTTTCAGGGCATCCTCCCATTCATCTCTTGTAAAGGATCTTTGAAGATCCTTTTCCCCCATCGGTCTATGCTAAGTACTGTGGAAAGACCTTACTGTGCTGGAGGCGGGTTTCCCCACT